ATTTTTGATTGCCATAACACAATTTTTGCCAAAAAAACGTATAATTCAACTTCATAATTCAATGTCCATGTTTACAGAATTACCAAGTTGTGTTTTGGATAAAAATGAAAAGTACTAACGAGTAAAACAAGCATTGAGAGAAGATAAATCAGTTAAGGCTATACAATTGAAAAGTTTTTTTTTTAATTTTTGAACTGTTTATTTTATTTAAGACTCTTTTTATTCATAACCTTGATTGTTTAAATGTTTGTTTTATGTTATCGATAACTTTTTTAATTGTTGAATAAACAAAAAACTTATTATTAATTTAAGTGTTGCATCATTTGATGTAGTGGTGTCCTTCATCACATCGTTTGTTTATTGTTATATTGTCGTTTATCTTGTGTTTGTTAGAAATATGTTGTTTTACTCACGTTTAGTTACAAAATGGATCACCAACCAAATAACGAACGTGGAAATTTGGGAAAAATTTACCCAATATTTGGGTGATTTCCCGATTTTTTTTGTTCAATAATTGAAACTGTATTGGTTTTTAAGGGTTTTAAACTGTGTACCGTTGTTGGTTCAACAAACAGGAAAATAAAAAATAAAACAAATAAAAAATAGTAAATAATGGGAAATTAGGACAAAGGGTTTATATAAATTTTGGAAACGGTACAGAGTTTTGAAATACAGTTTACATAATTATTAAAGTGTGGTTTATTATTTTAATAATTGTACTATTTAAATATTTGAACTACAATATGGAAAATAATTTGTCTTGCGGGAACTAATTTGTCTACACCTTTAAATAGTATAATTTATTAAATTTTATTATACTCAAAATATTTACCAGATTTATTCAGATCAGACATTTTTAATAATATTTTTGTAAACATTAGTTGGAATATATCCATAAAAAATCACCATGTTTTTGTTCTTGACACGTTTATTATAAAATAAAACGGGACATTACAGTGTTTTGGATGAAAAAAATTAACACACCACACTTTGAAACACTAGAAAAACAAGCATTGATTTAATTGATGATACAATTGACACTTCCTTACGAAGAATCAATAAACAACAGTCAGAAAAATTGTGTTGAACGAAAGTAGAATTATAATTAAGTTAATAATTGCCATAAAAAGTGTTTCTATTTTGACCGTTCTTTTTTATTCTCATTCCAATTTTCAGAGTAAAGCATTTGCCTCAATACTTTTTAATAAAGTCCACCTCTATGCGACCGTTTGTGGGGGAATGCGCTCCGAGGTAGGACTTGGAAAGTGTGGAATGCACTCTAACACTAATAGACTGTTAGAGTGCGTCTTATGATGCTGTCTTACACGGTATCCACTGACTCAAGGTGACTGTTCGTCATTATTTGAATTTGTGAATGAAACCACATGTCTACTCAATTGACTATAATTATAATTTGCATATTTCAATAAAAAATTGTAATAGTGGTGGCGTTAAAGGATATTATATTTTGAATGATTTTAAACATTCATTTATTGTATAACGAACAAAGCAAACAGTTGATACTGTGTACACCAACAACATCCCAATGTTGTTGGTAAATCATTTTTAATAATTTTATTTTCAAGTTTTAGAGAAATAGTTTTTTAGTTTGTTTTGTTTGGTTTATAATTAGAAAGTAGACAAATTACGAATTTGGAGATGGAACTGAATAAAATATTGGGGGGAAATGTGACTTAAAATTAAAATTAAAATGGGAAATTGAGATGCTAATAGGTTTATAAGACAAATTAGTTCCTATAGACAAATTAGTTGCCCATCTGTATTCTCTACATTTGTAAGTGCGTATATTTTTTAAAAAAACACTCTATGAATTAATGTGAATCAAGTTGATGAAATGTAACTTGAGTGAAGACAAAATGCTAACAAAAGTTCTTCGTCTTGACAAATTGCCACAAGTAATAAATAACTTGGAGATGGTACAAAATAACAACAATTTGAATTATTTAGTGATTTTTGTTATCATTTGGATATTAATTTTACTAAAATCACAAGGATAAAAATCCACCAAGGAGCTTAAACATGTTTTTCCTTTTTTTATTTTTTACACTCGGCAAAAAAATAAAACAACAACTTTTTTATTTTTTTTTCATATAAACCTGAAAATTCAAGTTTTGAAAATAAAAAACTTAATTTTAGCAAGTCAACTGAATCAACTTTTTTGTGGGAAGGTGAAATCTGGATAAGATTTATCTAGAGTCAGTCTGTTAACGTTGTTCACTCCCCAAACGTTGTTTTTTTAGTGTTATATTTTTAGAACAATATAAAGTTCCTTCAATAAAAGAAACTATCGGCAAATAACAATAATGTTTACCATGTTAAAATTTATTTTTTAGCAATTCCCGCTTTAAAACAAATTAAAAGAGTTAAAAAAAAGAAATAATTGAATTAAAGCAACTCCAAAACAAAAAACGTCAACCCTAATAATCCCACATTTTGGTTATAATTTAACTCTATTATTTATCTTCCTTTTATTTACAAAAGCAAAATAATTTGTTCAGAAAAGATAAAAAACAAAAAATTGGATGAGTAAATAAAATTGAAAACATAACACTTTTCAACACAAGTAAAACACAATTTTTATACTGAATAATTTACAAGCTTTTTGAACAACAAGAAAATGAAAATATAACATCAAGTTTATTTAATTATATGTTTGAACATATCAGGGACTCTGGTATGCTTTAATTTAAATCTTTTCAACTCACAGAAAAAAATTCATTGATTTAAAGCCTTTTGTAATAATACCGTCTAAAGAGCCTAGCATTAACAATGCTTCGTCTTATTGAAAGCATTAAACAAACGATAAAACAATTACATTTTTTTTCAAAAATATAGTAACAAAAAAAACACAAACACATTAAATATACTAAATTACAATTCAAGTGTTCAGCCTTTATTGTGATTACTAGAACCAAGCGTTTTCAAAAAGCACTTGACTCTTGTAATTCTATATTCAAATAATGTTGCCAAAAGGCATTTATGAGCCGTGTTAAAAGCTCACAATGTTTAAAATTTTTTAAATTTTTTTTACTTGGTCTTATTACAAAAAAAAAATCAGAGCTTTTAAATTCAACAACTGATAGTTTTCATTTATAAGTATTTTATAGTTAAAATATAGTTTCTAATGGATTTTTGAACCTTTATTATTTTCTTCATAAAAAATATAACGGAAATAAATAAGATAATAAATGAATAAAACTTGCAGTAAAATGTATTGGAGTTGAATTTAAATCCGTTAAAATACTTGGTGTATCAATTGAACGATAAATAAAAATATTATAACATTCTATACAAAACTATAAATTATACAATAAAAACCCTTGAAAAAATACAGACTTATCATTAGGAAAAAAGAGTGAATAACATAGCCAACATAACACTTAAAGTTTTACCTTGATTTTAGAGAACTTAAAGGTTATCTTTGAACTAAAAAAATAAAAGATGTTTGTTCTTTGTATTAAATTGAATTGAATTGGGTTGAATTGGGAATATATATTAACAAACTAGAGGCGACTAAGTGCTGCAACGACCTGACGGAGCGCCTTCTGCATTTCCACCGCAGCAAGTGGAAACCAGCCAACTTTCGCCGATTGAACGGTCTCAACTTGAGATCGTCATTTTGGCATGGTTTCCGGGGTGTTTGTTGATTTCGGCAAGAAACGTGAAGATCTTGAAATTAAATGATTTTGTTGGTTTTATGTTCGTTTTGATTTGGAAAAAGAAAAACATAATATGAAAAAGAAAATGTTATTGGTATGTTTATTGTTGTTCTATTTTAATATTTACATTTTTTTGTAGAAGATTTAGCCGTTATTTAGAAGATTCTGAGGTGAACAACGTTTGGGGACTGAACAACGTTATCCGACTGACTCTAGATCATATTTTATTTTTAGAATTATTAAAAACAAATTCAAAACACGAAATCGTTTAGTTTTCGCGCAAATTAATGGTCTTTACAGACCCATGTTTTCTATTTTCCATGTGTTCAAAGTTGTTAATACTTGCTGTTACGAGACATACACATGAATTTTCATGAGAGCGCTTCGATTTTTATCAATTTTTCATTATTTAAATTGTTTTGTGACACACCGTTCTTAATTAAAGATCTTTTTAGTTCAAATACAAAAATAAAAAAGTGACTTATTTTAAGTAAAAAAATCAAGGATATAAATTATCCAGTTTTCACTTCGTAAGGTTAATTACTCCTCCTTTAATCATTCAGCAAATCGAGCCTTTCTTTATATAAAAAATAATTCACAAATTTCAATAACAAACATTGGTATCTTGAAAAAGTAATAGAGGCTCTTGTAAACCTTGTTTTTGAATCAAATCAAATAAAAAAGAAAAAAACTATACAAATTACTATAATTGTATTATAATTTTACTGCTAAATTATCAAAAGCGGGGTTTTATAAGACCAATTTTAAATTGCAGAACTTAAAAAACAAATCTAAATGTAAAAATTATAATTATTTAACATTAAGAAACAATCAAAATGGTTTAAAATATTATAAATTATATTTTTAAATAAAATAATTTTCAAAAGGCTGTTTCATTGCAGAAGGTTGATTTAACTAACTGTATTATTTTGATTTCTATCAAAGCAATCACATTACAAAAATCAAAATGCTTTTTTAAGATTATACAAATATAACATAATTATTGTCAATTTGTTAACACTTTTCTTTATAATTAATTAAAAGTTTTTATTGTTGAAATAGTTGATAAATATAACAATAACAAACTCTTAACATTATTAATCTTCTTTTTTTAAAAAAAATAGACCCATTGATTTATTATTCAAGTACATTACATTATAATTATTATATTTTATAAGTACAACTATTATATTGTTCCATTAAAATGACCAGAATAAACAAAACAAATTAATTAGTTCATAATAGCCTTTTTAATGTTTTTCAACTTCAAAAATAAAGAATAACACACTTTTGGTTAATATTGATTATGTTAAAAAAATAAAACTGTCACAAAACTTATAAATTATCAAATAAGCACATATACATTGATTATATATATTATAAATAGGTTAATAAGTTTGTAACCAATTTTTAAATTTTAAAACTTCAAAAACAAAAAACCAACTAGTCTTCTTTATGATATTGTTTGGTCGAATGTGTGAAAAATCTACATAAAAGTGTTAATCATATCTGACTAAACTAAGAATGGACATCATCTTTCTTCTTTGCATCATCATTTTAATATGCATTTTACTTGTTTTTGTCAGGCTATATGCTGCTGGTGGTGTCAACCATTCGCATCGTGACTTAGCACACAAAGTGATTGTAGTTACTGGAGGTACACATGGATTGGGAAGAGTCTTAGTTGAAGAATTGTCCTCCAGTGGTGCACAGATCATCTCTATGTCTCGCAACGACTCTTTATCCGATGCTGTACTACAAGAGATAAAATCAATTCACAAAGACGCAAATCTGTCGCACATCCATCTTGACTTAAATGACTTGGTGTCAGTCAAAAGTGCTGCCATTGAACTTTCAAATAAAGTGGACCACATCGACTTTTTGGTGAATAATGCGGGTATCTTGAATGCGCCATTTGAAAAGACTAAACAAGGCTATGAGGCAACAATGGGTGTAAATTATTTGGGGCACTTTTTGTTGACAAATTTGGTACTTCCAATGATCGAAAAGTGCAACGGCCGTGTCATTAATTATTCTTCGGTAATGTCATTGCATTACAATCAGACGGACTTTCCATTTAAAAATGATGATAAGAAATTTTCTCCAATGAAGTGCTACTGTGAGTCAAAGCTTGCTATGGCTATGTTCGCAAAACAACTTTCAATTAAAAATAATAAAATCACAGCTGCTTCGTTACACCCAGGAGGAGTCAACACTTCTTTGTTCCGTTACTACCCAAAAATACTAATGGCTATTATTAATCTATTGCTCAGAATTGTTTTTAAGTCACCACTTGAAGGCGTTCAAACAGCTCTCCACTTAATTCACGAAGAAAATGTGACTAATGGAGCGTACTATGCAGACTGCAAAGTTTCAAAACGACGCAACAAATTTTTGGAAGATAAAAAGTTACTTGAAAAATTGTGGGAAGACTCGATAATGGCAGTTCAAGACTTTTTAAATTAAAATTTGCCTTATCTTATTAAATTTTATTTCAAAGTATTTATATGTTGGTGATGTTTTGTAAAATAATTTAATGGAATTTTAAATAAAAATGTATAAAACCTATTTAAAACAGTCGCACTCTTTGTATTATGGTTGTTTATTTAATTTAATTTTTGGTTTTAATATTTGAGAAAATCTTTATAAATTTTGATAAATTATTGAATTATTGAGTTAATTTTTATTTCAAATATTTGTAGATTGTTAATAAGTAAATCACATATGTACAGGTCGATACATAACACCTATTGTTTTCTAAAGGTCCTCAAGTCGTCAATTAATCGGTCAAAACCGCAAAAATATTTTTTATTTAGAAACGAAATAAATAAATAACCAATGTAAGTGAACTCTACAAATATGTTTTTGAAACTTATTTTTCGATGTCACTTCTTACGGTTTTACGTTACACGACTTGTTATGATCATATTTTGAACATTTATAAACAAATGTATTTTAATGGTTTTATTTTTATATATTACGTTTTTCTTTTTGTAATACAACATTTGTTATTGTCCAATTTTATATCGTTCGAGATAAGATTAACTTTTTAATTAATATGTATCGAATCTTGAAAGTTTTTAAGACAAATTGATGGGTTTTTACGATACCTATTCAAGTTTATTTTTGTATTTATATTTTTAACTGTATTTGTGTTTATTTTTAATTTATTATTGTTTTTATTATTAAAAAAATGATAAATAATAATAATTGTTATTTTTTAAAATGTCTATTTGATCATATACAACTTATACAAACAAATAACCAAAAATAATATTGTTTTATATAAAATATAAAGACTGACTCTAATATTCCCAAAAATGCATTTAAATACATAAGCAAATAACACCCTTGTAATTTTAATAGAATAGTTTTTACTGATATATTATTTTAAAATTTTGATGATATTCCCCCTTTGTCTTGTGTAATGTTATGCATATAAAATGAACTTTAAAAAATTTGAAAATTATTTATAAAACTAAGAATTTATCAATTTTTAAACCACTTGAATATTGTTCAATGTTATTTAAGGTGTTAAGTTATTTAATTCAATTTCCGTTTTTTAATGTATTAGTGGTTTTTGAAGTCTTTTCTGGGTGTTCTCTCACGACGCCAGACTTTTTCTTTTCTATCTTTTCAGTCTTTCCTTCTTCATTTGCTTTCAAATTATCTTGTCGCACCTTTTCAAGTTCTTCTTGTTGTTGTTTTATGCAAATGCAATTTTCGTGAGTGTGCCCCAGTTGCCCACAAATAGAGCAATTCACTTTTTGTGTTGTTTGCAGTTGTGTGTTGTTTGAATCGTTTACTTGCAGTGTTTGTTGTGTCACTTCTTGTTGAGTACTTTCTTCATTCATTTGTTGAATTTCGTTGTGTTCTGTGTCTTTCTTGTCACAAACAGTATTTGGCAAGTAGTGACGTCCCAAACAGAGTTTGTTATCAAATACCA